GAGATGAGCACACAGTGATTTGGGGTTGTGGGTAGTGCTATTTTGATCTGGATGTGGAGGGGTTGGTAGTGAATCAACGTCAGGTAAAACTAGCGTAGAACCAATAAAACCAATAAAGATGTTGTTATGCTGATCATCCTCTCGGACCAGCTACTGATCATCTACATGTGTTAAGGATGCTGCCAGCGTTCATCCTGAGCCAGGATCGAACTCTCCATGAGATTACATTTGAAGTTGTCAGTTTACAACTCCTTGTAATTTTTGTTCCAGAATTATATGCAAAGGAAGTTTGGATAATATCTTGGGCATGGGTAGATATACAATTAATATATGAATTGCAATTGAATTGGGGGAGATGACAAATTTTTTCAGTCAAATGTTTGATAACAGGGTCTAGTAGGAGGCATCATGTCTGCTAATGTTATTTATGCTTAATGTTTTGCAAGTTTAGCATAAAGTCACTATTTATGGGTCTAGTTAAGCTTGTAAATGGGGTAGATCATGTTTTATGTATGATGTGATCTGACCCATTAGATTTGACCGGCAGATAAATAAATAAAAATTAATTCATTGATCCGATACGTGATATAGATCGGTCCATTTAAATGGATCAATACTTGGATGGTTGGATCACAAACGTATGGATTAGATCCATTTAAATAATGTTATGTATTTTATAATAGAAGTTCAGTCGTTATGTTTAACAAATTTATACAGTAAAGTGAAGGGCCTTTGGCCTAGTAGTACCTTGTTACCCAACCTTCTTAGATATCAAGGGTTTAAGTCCACCTGCCAAAGATGAGAAGTGTGTGTGAGTTTAATTTGCCATATTTAAATATTATATACTTGAAAAAGAAAAAAAACTTATATCGTACAAGTGCGGAAAATTTGGAAGGTCATGAAGAAGTTTAAATATCTAGACTTCTAGAGAAGAACTAACCTGTGAAAGATCATGAAGAAGTTCAAATATCTAGAGGATAACAAATGTGGAAAGAAAGACCAGTAACACCAGCTGTTTCCAACTAGGGGGGACAAATGCTCTTTCAAAATTCAATCATAAAAGTTATAGTTGCAAGAATTTTACATGATCTCAGTATAGTCAACTAAAAAGTGAAATCTACTCCAGCTTGATGAATTACTTCTAGAAACAATTTCAACAAATTTTAATATTTCCTAACCATCTTCCATCCAAACCTTGTCATGATTTTTCAAGATTAACCACACTGCCATACACACAAACATGAACTAACAGGGTCAGGCCTAGCAAAGCAATTAATATAATTTGAGTGGTTGAGATACTACATGGGTTTTAATTCTGACTTGTTACTTGTTAGTGTGTGTATAAATGTTTACATTTTACAAAGGTTTTTTTGTCGGAAAACCCTTGAAATGGATGAAAAAATGGTCTATATTTTGATCCATTACATATCTATATTTGATTCCATACTTTCTAAATATAACCCCTCTATCCTAAAATAAAATGTCCACAATACAGTTTTAGGAATGTTTAATTACACTTTTTGATCGACTAAATAGCAGTTTTATCAATAATATAGAGGGAGTAATGAATTTTTTCCTCTCATAATTAAGGGTATAAGTGGAAAGTAGATACTTTCATTTGGTAGACAGTAACATGTCTTCACCCAAACTTTACCACTAACACTTATATGCAACTCGATGGACATGGCATTCAGTAGTTCATAAGTCAACCCAGGTTTTGAAGTGCGAAATTGCGAGTCGAGACAGTTTCTCTCAGTGAGGCAACACGTAAGCCTCGAGGCAGAAAACAAATAAAATTTATAAAATATATAATATGTAAAACATAATCGCATAACAAACTATGAAAGTCTTTTGAGGATGCATATGTGAATCATCGAAAAAATCCATTTGAGGATGCATATGTGAATCCACATTAATAGTCTGTAACGTCGGTTTGCATCTTCAAATAAATTTTTTTTTCTGATTTTTTCAATGAATTTCACATATGAACCTTTTCTTTTTACTTCTCGCAATTTAGGCTTCTTATTTGAACCGGCCCTATATATAAACAGAAAAAATAAAATAGATACAGTCCTATCCTCTATTCCTCTCCTTTCTCTGATTCTCAGGGAGGGGTATAAGCATACACAGATTACATAATATCTGTATATATATAAACAAAAAACAATATACGTAGAGTCATACAGAATATATACATATATATTAACAAATAAAATACATACACAAAATATATATATGATATATACCAACATAGTAACTCACTAACACTAGCACACAAGATATTCCATACTCACGAGTTTGGAATGCAACAAGACAGCGGGTACCATACAAGTTTCAATGTAGCAAGCACCGTAAAGCTTCGTGCTTGTGTGAGAGAGAAGAAACGAGTAGAAAGGAGGTCCTGAGGGAGAAGTGTTGGTTTCGAACTTTAGGCTTGGGTTGACTTTAAATCTTCTATTAAATTTAGAGAGAATATGTTAAAAGAACAAGAAAAAAAAACAAACAAATGCCTCGCCTGACCCTTTCAAGGCGTATGGCCAAGCCAACTAGCAAGAGGCGAGGCCTCAAAGTCGTTTTTGAAAAGCATGAAGTCTTGAACAAAACATAATGTTAAAACTTGTATTAGAAACTGGAAGTAGAAAGCTTTCATCAAACATCTTCTTCAATGTTTGCCTTTTACCTGAAGGGAAACAGTCTTCTGTTATATACAAATATAACACTTGCAGAAGAACAAACTTCAGTTATTTTTCTTACCTTTTCCGAGTGTGTGTTAGTTTGGATGAGAATGAGCCTGATGGAGCAGAATCAAAATAGAAGAGATGATCATGTATAATCACCAAGTAGATGAGATATATATCCTCTCTTGTGTTATAATTCTATTTTTAATCTGCAAAATCCGATGAATATACGAAGTTTGTGATGTGAAAAGTTGTGGTGTTTTTCAAATTTATATTTTTATGCATACAAATGGTGGGTTTTTTTGGTTTTGCTTTTCCTCCATCTCATTATATACCACAAGGATTTGGTTTTTATAAATCATGACCATTTACCATTTGTTGCTTTTTAGGTGCCCACAAATTACCAGTTTGAGCTTGGAGATGCATTTTTTACATGTTTCAGCAAAAGAAAGTTGACTTTATTTCTGACCCTTTATTGATTGATTATTCTGTAACAGAGGCAAATACTTGTTTTTTTGCTCAAGTTGAGGATCTGATTTTGTGGCTTTTTTTTATTTGGTTTTCTTATGTAATGGGATTCTGGCATTTTCACGTGTCAGATACTAATTAATTTCTTCCAGATATTCATTTATTTTCCTCACAACATCTCTAATCTATATGGAGTATGTGCTTTTTTGTTTCAATTCATTTGAGATGGAATTCTATGGTTAATAGTTTTTGGGAGGAAACTCTAATCTATAGTAAGGGAATTCTATATGGAGTTATTATTGTCATATATGATATTAGTTTTTACCAAAAAACCCTTCTTTCCCTGATTAACCCTCCCCCTGACCCCTGACTGACCCCTTTCTGTTCCCCGATAACAACACCGACACCTCTTCTTCTTCAGCGTCGCTGGTGAACACCGCCAACCTTCTTCCATGACTGTCTGTAAACACCGCCAAACTCCCTGCCTGCAACATCACAAACACAAAAACCCATTTACAGCCATTGAGAAATGGGTATCGGTTAGATTCAGATGGATATCAAACTACAAGTCCAAGCTTCAATGGCATTTACAAAGGCAGAAGATGAGGTTTTTTGAAGCTTTGCTCTGATCCAACCGATTCTTATAATGTCGAGCATTTAGGAGTAGCTTAGAACAACCAGAGACTAGAATGCATCTTCATTTAATTAGAATTCTGCAAGGAAGAGAGTTGGGAGTTGATGCAGGCCTTGGGTGTGGAGGACCGGGCCCTATTGATCTGGGAGGCCCATGATCGGGCTACCATAAGGGGCCACATTTAAAAGGCATAACTCTCGCACACTAGTTGATTCAAAGCCTAGAGCGCGGAGCATGCTGTGGTTAGGTCCCGAAGGGGTTTACCGACTTTTGAACCCTGAAAGCACTGTTTAAGTACGGCTTTTGCACATTTTCGTGTTTATTACTTTTTTGGTATTTTCTCTAGGCTTTTAAATTTTGGCGCATAGTCTTTTTTTCTTCCCAAATTTGGAGTTCATTTGAATTCAGATTTGAAGCCTGGGATCGGTATTTGTCGAATCAACGGATCCTAGAAAAGGTTATCCATGGGTATTCGTAAAATCAACGTGGTAATCTGTTGTTTGATTTTTTTTGGCTGCATTAGAAGTGGTTGGTATTCAAGAATGAGGGTTTTTAGGCAAATGTCGGGTTTTGTAGCTTCTGGTTCTTATTTCAGTGATTGAACCCATGGTAAAGAGACTTCATGTATGGTGACGAATTTCTTGCCTTAATCCACGGAAAAGGGGACATATTTTTAATTGTTTAATATAGTATCATACAGGTAAATTATCTTGTGAGAAGTAGAGTTAAGGTGAGAAATGTAAGTGGGATCTGGACTCTTGATCACCTTTAATCTCTAACTCATCCATGAATTGCGCTTGATACGTGGATTGGTCTGGTGCATCTCATCCTAATATGTTTTCAAGAGTGGAGATTCATTCTTACGATTCTCATCTTAAACTCTCCTCACTGGAACCCAACTGCCGTAATTATATATATATATATATATATATATATATTATGTTGGTTTTTAAACGATTTTTGTCTCTACGGTTTATTATTTGTGGTTGTTTTTGTCCTTCACACTAACTCTTTAATTGTCAACTTAAAAGACATTTTGGTCAATATACCGTTACCATCGTTGTTAGCAACGTAAGTCTGGTCAGCGAGATATGATCTTGATCCCATTAGCGATTCTAACAAATCAAATCAGGTTTTGTGGTAATTCTATCATCGATTTTTCTCTCAATTCTTTCTCGATCATATATTGCAATTCTAGGTCATCAAAACTCTTTCTCTATTAAATCTCGTATTCTTTCAATATAAATTCGAATCGAGATAGTGATATTGAGCTAGATATTGATTTTGACCCTAAAATTGTCATGTGTGAATCTAAGATTAATTTGTGAATCAATTAAATAGTTCATATGTGAATCATTCAGGTTTATATGTGAATCAGTTAAGTAGTTCATATGTGAATCACATGGATTCACATATGGACATATTATAATTTGTTTGCCGCCTATTCAAGAAAGAATTGAGAGAAAAATCGATGATAGAATTGCCACAAAATCGGATTTGCTTTGTTAGAATCGCTAATGGGATCAAGATCATATATCGGCAGACCAGACTTACGTTGCTGACAACAACGGTGACGGTAACGGTAATATTGATCATATTTTGGCCCATATTATCCTTTCTTTAAAAAGATTTGATCATTTGATCCAAGGATTAGGATCACTTATTTATTTCTCATACATTTAATACTTCTCATTTGAATCTCTCCCTTTATATACGACAATAATTCTAATGAAAAAATAATTTAAATGGTAAAAGACCAAAATGTCATCAAGTTAACGGTTAAACAGTTAGTATGAATGACGAAAACAACCACAAATAGTAATCCATAGAGACGAAATTCGCTTAAAAACCAACATAGTCAATAGACACACACACACTAGTTGTGTACCCACTCGTTGCAGCGATATGTAAATGTTTTTAGGATTTCTTTTTGTGGTTTAAAATCGTGAGAGGGGGGGGGAAGGGGGTTAAAACCATGTTGTGGTACACGATGGTCAATGGCACATCGTCTTAATTGGCTTGGTTTCCATGTTTAAGTAGTACGTGTAAAATATTGTACATGACAACGGTATGAAGCTTAGCATCGACCGTCTTGTCTTTTGATGTTGATAAACTCAAAAATCCTATGAGTTATGGTTTTTGTTTTTTGGTATGCTTTCAGTTATTACAATGTTGTTTAAATACCAGTATATAAGAGTATCGATTTGTTTGATGGTTGAGTATAATTTGTTTAACCAAAAATGCCAATCTCAGTCGAATCTATTATATGCTCTAATATATCTTGGTTTTGTTCTCATATTAAAACTAAAAAACAAAAGGAAAGAAATTGCACAAGACATTTATTAGACTTTGTATCTTCCTTTTCACAAAATTGAACACATACGGTTGTTACACGTAGTAATAGGTTCAAAGTAGACGAGTAATTGCAAAAATCAAGGGTGTTGCATGATTACACGAAGAAAAGGTGTAGTAGTTGAAATCATCGTATGTTTTACAACATTGGAATATTTACATGGCGTTCGGTACAATTCATTGTTTCAGATGTATGGTAATCTAACAACATGCTTATTCAAGGACTTCAAATGCCGAAAGATCAATTGTTTAGCATAAAACTTGTAGATCACAACCACGATTTGCATATTGGTTTTGTTCATTACAATAATACATTCAAACAGAGAGGGACACATACAATAAACCGAGTAGAAGGGGAAAAAGAAACTAAAATCTTTGATAACTGTTGTTGTTGAAATTGTGTCAATATTGAGCCACTTCCGCAATCACCTGAATCTCGAGACACTCTTCAAACCAATCATAGACTTCCATTTTCAACAAAACACCCACACCCAAATTCCATAGATTTTGGTCCGCTATCCCGATCATGATTTTCCCAGTGATAACCTTCAAGTGTAAGTACTTCCAAAAACCTAAGTACTAACTTCCAAATTTACTTGTTATGCGTGTGAATTCATGTTTCATAATTCAAATACATAAATATATTTACTCCTATGAAAGAATTTTCGTCTCAACACCTTACTTGATCATCATACTTCATTTTAAAAATACGAGTGTGCCTGAAAAATTGGTACAGTGATGAAGTTAGCTCTACAAAGTTTAGTGAACATAATTTTAATCTATCAATTAAATAGCATTTTGAAACCTACTATTCCCCATGAATCAAGATCAGAAAAAAAGGGTGGCACAATTTGCTAAATTTCCCAAGATGATCAAGGTATACGTACTTCAAAATAATAGAAAATCACTAACCGCTTGTAGGATGAGTGTGATAACCGGGTTTTTATTCGTTTATAGAATTTGGGAGGGTTCTTGAAAAGCATTGGTAAGTAAAGAATTTTAAGTTGTTTATATGTGATTATTTATTTTAGTTCCACCGCCTATGATTATATGTGTAACTTATTATATGAGTTGTGTGCAAATTGTGGATTATAAAATCATTAACCTCCACCTCCTGTGTTTGAATAACATATAAAAGTGATAAGATAAATTTATCATATCCATTCTATCTTGAAAAGAAAGGAAAAGAGAGAAGGCTTACTGTGTGTATTCTTGTGTTAAATACTAAGTGAAGCTGTTAAAAGAGAGCCTCTGATTGGTCATGAGTCCTTGGTTTTTAGAAGATTGAAACCAGAAACTCTGGTTCAGAAGTTCTGATCGACCAGAGTGGCTCTGGTTGGCTTAACTATGGATTTCTTTATACTTAGTTAAGTGACCATGGTTGATTATATTATGTGTATGTCATTTTCAAGATTGATCTAGACTTCAAGACTAAGTCTTTAATGACTTTGTTTTATTTAGCTTTAATCTGGCTTAAGATCCAGAGGAGCTTTGACCTAAGAACCAGAGGAGCACTGCCCTAAGAGCCGGAGGAGCTCTGGTCCTTAAGAGCCGGAGGAGCTCTGGTCCTTAAGAGCCAGAGGAGCTCTAGGTAATCACGCACAGAATGATGCTAGGACCTGAGTGGTCACATTCCATGTGCGACAAGGAAAATTTATAACTCACATTTTGATCGTGATATTGGAGTTATATTTTATTAAAAGGATATATATATATATATATATATGAGCGATCAAATGAAAATCACTTCAATTTGTAAAAACCGTAAAAACTACTCTCATCCGTCGTAATCTTATGAAATTTTTTCATAAAATTGTTTAATCTTGTGAAATTGTTTCATATAATACTTTTTCAGATGAAGTTGTTTCATATATGGTTATGAAATTGTTTCATATACTACTTAATGAAATTTTAATGAAACTGTTTCATGTATTTTTCTAAAATTAAAATAATGAAGATGATAATATCCATGATTAACATCCTCCACAATAAAAATGATTAATCAATCTCTTATAATTACAAAAAAAATGAACAAAATGAAAAATTATGATTGGTGGAATGAGGTTTTTACGGTTTTTACAAATTGAGTGGTTTTCATTTGATCGCTCCCCTGTATATATATATATATATATATATATATATATATATATTTGTATAATTACAAATATGATTTGCAACAGGTTTTGGTGATTTTCACTCTGTAATTGCATTAAAAAAATGGATTTCTCACTAGATTCTCAAGATCTAACCATCATTTTATGTTTAAAAATGTGCATTTTTTTTGGAAGGGTGTCCGGGTCAAAGCCCGACTAATCCCCGGCAATTTTTGGAGGTAAAGCATGGTCCCACTTAAATGTCGCCAACACTTCCCTCCCAAGGCTCGAACTCGGGTTCATGACTATGTCATGCCCAAGCCTTACCACTAGGCTGGAAGGTCTTTGACTTAAAAATGTGCATTGCAGGTCAAGTTTTAGCAAGGGATAAGGAAAAGGGGAAAATGTGAATTTTCCTTTCATGCTTGCATGGGTTATGACAAAAATGCTTGTTATTTGTTGAAGTTTTGGAATACTTGTTTTATATGCAAGTTACATACAAGAATATTATGGAAAAATTTGCTTGTAAATTTTGTAATATAACTTATTGTACTATGGGGATCGAATGTGTACTATTTGTATTTCTTGATATATGAAATACATGGTTATATACAAATGTAGATCTTGGGGTGTTACAACGAGGCTTCCCAGATATGAAACAATTTTAGAAAGTATCAGAAAAATGATAAATCAGACAATAGGGAAGTAGGAAACGGTACCTCGAAGCTTTTGATGGTTGTTTGTTTAGACTCCCCCAACAAAAGTGGTAAAAGGTTTTATGAAAAAGAATTTTAGCTATAAAAGATATCAAAAATTCCATAAATCTCCGAGCCAAAAAGCTAATATTAACATTCCAAATGAAGGAAAACGCAAGGAAATTTAGCTGGAAGGAGCTCGTTAAAGTAAAGATCAGATTACCTACCTTCATCCCTACTTTTTGCATGTTGCTCCTATGAGCGGTTTTCCTTCCTAATATAATGTTAATGTGAATGCTCATTAAGGGTGATTCAGTTCCGAGAAAAAATAAGGACCATTTAGCCAAACCCATGATCATTGCGCAGAGGCTTGCCAACTGCATACTTTACAAATTAAAATGTTGCCATTAAAATCCCATTACCTCAATATCAAAACAAGTCTCAGGTTCGATAGGAGACCCAAATAAACTCACACACACCCTTCTCACATTCGGTGAAGTTTGAACCTCTGATCTCTTAGGAGGTCAAAGACTTAGATACCGCTAGACCAAAGGCCCTTTGGTAATGTTTTTGAGTTTTTCTTAACATTAAAAGTCAGAACAGACGGAATATTAAACAAATTGAACAACATAAACAAGAACAATACTAGAAGATGCCTACAGATGTAATTCTTCTCCATTCGATCTGATGTGCTCAATTTTGCCTCATTTTCCTTCACCACCATATATGTTTGTCATTTGCATAGTATTTTTGATCATGTTTTAGCTTCCACTCTTTTCATTGAATTGGTTTTGGTGTATAAGGAACTTACATGAGCATGGAAAACAAACATCACAAGCTCGAGTGAAAGGCTTCAAGAAGCATCCGTATCAACAAATTGTGATCATAAGTTTCATATTCATAATCCTTCATTGTCCTGCCAGATAGTTGTGAAAGGCATTAGTCCAAAAACCTGTTGTTTTTATCCCTCCATCAACCTTTCTTTGGGCTTTGACACTGATTTTGGTCTACAAGATAAGAAAACACATCAAAAGTTAAATATAAACTTCAAAACGCAATTAAAAACCCAAAGGTTAGTCTTAAATGTGATGGCCCTTATACACATTGATAGATGAATTTGAATTTGTGCTCAATTGACATGATCCATGAGAAACCAGATGTTTTATTTAGTACAACCGAACACTCAAATACTTTTATTTTCTAAGAACTGTTATTTACTAGATTTAATTCAATTTTAAAGGGATCTCGAATCTTGTTAAGTTGAAAACTGAAGTTTCTATCATTTTCAAAGAATAACAATTAATACTATCTGCTTTTGCAGATTCCAGTAATAATTGTGATACCCCAAAATAAGGTAAATAGATAAAAAGGAAAAGGAAAAAGAAATAAAATAAATTTGGTTTTTTTATTATTGGACTACAAATGTGAAAAAAAAACATGAATACGGGCCAATTATGCCACTTAATGAAAGTGAGAAGTGAATAAATGATATTATACGCAATCGGGATAAAAATGAAAAAAAAATATCAGATTGGGCATGAAAAATGTAAAGTTGGACAAAGTATTGACGTTAGGAGGCCGAATGTCATTTTTGAAAGTTCAGGTGCAATGTCAGACGTCCGTGTCCAAACCAGAGGGATCTGTTTTGTAAATTTATCAGATCTGCAATTATTTAGATTTGAACACGACGGTGATCTTGGAAGGCTTTAAAACACTTCCTAGTTCGTAATCCTTGGATCAAGGTTGTTCTTCATCTTTACAAGTGTTTAAACATTCAACTCGATCAAGGTCAAAGTTCGGTCAACACTCGACTCGAATAAGCTTGGCTCGATATATTAACGAGTCGAGTCAAGCTACCCAACACTCAACTCGAAAAGATCGGTGAGATACTTGATTATTTTATATATAATTAGTTTTAAAATATAATCAGTTTTTATGATAAAATTTATACAATATAAATAAGAAAATTTCTTATATTTTTAGATATTTAAACAAAATTATGCAATTTTTAATTATAAAAACTAATCAATTTTTTTTTTATTAAAATCACAATTAGAAAAAAAGACAAAGAAAAACTATAAAAAAAGTTAGTGAAATTGTTCCACGTTGAAAGAGAGATGGTAAAAGAAGAGAGAAAAGATGTTATAAAAAGAGAGGGAGATGAATGAAATTTCTAACCTTATCTTTTTTATGATTAAGTTTGAAGTTGATCCATTTAATCTTATAAAACCTAAGAGAACACCTTTTAAGTTTTAAAATTTATAAGAGAAATACCCTAAAATTTCATAAATTTCAATGGATGTTTAGTTCGAATTTGATTTGAGTTGCAGTTTGATCTTGATTCGAACTTAGTTCTAGTTTGAGTTCAAGTTCGAACTTGGAAATTGATTTTCGGGTTCGAATCGAATATAATGATACTCGAATTCAACTCGTATCATTTACACATCTGCTTTAACTTGATAGTTTCCATGGTATCAAATTTAACGACAGAGACAAAAATTGAATACCAAAAAACCATCTGAATTTGTGTCTAAAACAAAAGTTTAGAAGGAAAAAACATATTTAACAATTAAATATTATAAACATTTTCCTTGAAGTTATAACGACATATAACTCTAATGAACTCATGACATCGGATACAGACAATGCAGACACGTGTCATGTATCAAGGTAAAGGAAACTTTGGAATGCCAGCCACCACCCCAAAAACCGTGGGCCTTAATTTGTCTTATGTTATATATTTTTTAAATTGGTCGCAATACTCATTTCTTAGATATAAATTTTAGGGTGGCAATGAATCAAGTTGAATTGAGTTCGGGTTCAATTAATTTATTAAATAAGTTAAAAATTTTAACCTAACTTTGCTTATTTAATTAAATGGGTTGAGATTTTTCAACTCAACCCAATCTGTTACCTAAATGAGTTGACAACAGGTTGATTTGTTTACGATTTTCTTAACCCAACATGTTAAATAAATGGATTGACTTTTGGTTGACCCATTTAATTTTAGAATTTTAAATAAAAAAAAGAATTAGACTATTTAATTTTTTTTTAATAAAACACAACCACAAATACAAACAAATTATTCAAAGTTTAAATAAAACACAACCATAACAAATATATTGTTGAAAATAAGTTGGATTAGACTTTAGAGGGGATAATGGAGTAATGTACTAAAAAGTTTTCTTAGAGTTCATGATTATTAAGATAATGAAGACGATTGGAAATTGAAGTTTCATCTCACGACGGTTGGATTTTTAATTAAGGAAAAACCAAAATAAAAACTAGAATACTAGATATAATATTAAGGATAAAATAAAATTATATAATATTTTAAATGGCTTGCAAACGGGTTGAAAATGAGTTGAAAACAGGTCGAAAAATTCAACACAACCCAATCCAACCCATTTATTTAAATGAGTTAGACATGTTGACCTATTTATTTAAATGGGTTAAAAATCTCAACTCAACCTATTAATTTTTGGTTGGATTCAGGTTGGATAAATTTTTTGCCACCCCTAATAAATTCTAACCATTTTTCTTTTTATTTATTCAAATATCACTACCTTTACCATTTTTACATCAACAACTTATGGACCTGGCTAAAAGATAAAAAAAAAACAAATCAAATTGTAGACCTGACCGTCACACTTGTGAATCTGGGTCTTTTGATAATTTTATTTTTGTCTTTTAACTAGGTCTATAAATGACGAAAGTGACTTGCATACATAATGATACTTGGGTATCTTTTAGACGATGATACATTTATCCTACAACATTTGATACATTTTCTTCTTTATAAATACAAGCTAGTTTCGTTTAAATCGTTTACCAAACTTGTCTCCCTTCAAGTTAACATCGAAGTTACAAGAGCGTCAAGAACAATAAGGTGATTTCAAACTTAACATCTGATCTTTGTTATCGTGTTTCTTTTAGATTAATTTCCACAATCGGTTTGTTCATCATCGATCGACGAACTTGTGATTTGCAGAATCACCAACTCGAACCATGTTCGATCACTTGATGGCACCACCACCGCTCACCGATCCTCATGAACTCAAAGCATTTGTGGTCGATGAAGGGCACGGTGTGAAGGGTCTAGCAGAACTAAAGATCAAAAGCTTACCTGCTTTATTCATTCAACCTCTCGAAAAACGGCTCGATATGAGCAAAGTGGTGCCGCATGAGTCGATCCCAGTGATCGATATGTCGAATTCTGAAGACCCTGAGGTCGAGCAAAGAATCTGCGATGCAGCTGAGAACTGGGGTTTCTTTCAAATCGTTAACCATGGCGTGCCTGCTAGCGTACTTGAAGACGTAAAGGAAGCGACGCGTCGGTTTTTTGATTTGCGGGCTGACGAGAAGAAGAAGTATTTGTTCAAGAACAGTCGAACGAAAAATGTTCGACTCGTTACGAGCTTCATTCCTGAAGTGGACAAAGTTCTGGAGTGGAAAGATTACCTTAGTTGTTTCTATGTATCAGATGATGAAGCCATGGCTTATTGGCCCTCCGTTTGCAGGTAAATCGCGTATCTACCGTAACAAAATCGGGTTTATATGATGTCAAAAATGATCAAGTGTCCTAATAATACGGCTAATGATCGTGTTAGAAGTAAAGTTAATGTGAAAAACGTAATAAGGGACCTTTAATCTCAAACCCACACATGAATCGCACTTGATGCGGGGATTGATCTGGTACATCTCATCTTAATGTGCATCCAAGGGTGAAGATCCCTTCTTACGCTTATCAGAATCGAGAAAGATTAATCTAGTAAGACAATATGAAAGCTTTCTGTTAATCTTTGAAGCAAAAAACGTGTCCGTCTACAGGGATCAAGTTCTGGAGTATATGAACAAGTCTGAATCGCTTATTAAGAGGCTATTAGAAGTGCTGATGAAAAGACTGGGCATATCGGAGCTTAACGAAACAAACGAGCCGATTCTCAAGGGGTCGAGACGAATAAACCTAAACTACTATCCCGTATGTCCCAACCCTGAACTGACGGTCGGCGTCGGAGGTCATTCAGACGTTTCCACGCTAACCGTCCTTCTCCAAGACGAAATTGGAGGGCTTTACGTTCGAAAACTGCATAGTGAGAATTGGGTCCATGTGCCTCCTATCAAGGGATGTTTAACGATCAACATCGGTGATGCTCTTCAAATCATGAGCAATGGTCGATACAAGAGCATCGAACATCAAGTGGTTGCTAACGGGCACGAAAACAGGATATCGGTGCCGATATTCGTGAACCCTCGGCCTAGCGATGTGATCGGGCCGTTGCGGGAAACGATGAGGAGAGGGGAGAAGGGGTTGTACAAGCAAGTTTTGTATTCGGATTATGTGAAGCATTTTTACAGGAAATCCCATAATGGGAAGGATACAATTGACTTTGCCAAGGCTTAATTGATCATTTTCCTTCTAAAAACGATATGAATTTACACGTAGATATATAAATATTTACAATTTTGTTTCGGATTTAAATTTGATTTTCAATTTTCTCACAAGTATCTGATAATCGAACCAAATAAGGTTGAATTTAATGGAATGGAAGTTGTTTTAGTTTGATGACGTTTGTTGAAGAATTTTTCTTTCAAAAATTTGGTCTCCGAATAGATTAAGCTTTTCTTGGGAAAATTATATTTACAAAAGATGCATCTATAGAAAGATATAGGTTCTTTATATTGTAAACCATGTTATTTGTATTAATTGTATAAATCTTATTTAATCAATCATAATTTTTCATTTGTTTATTTTTTTGTAATTATGAGAGGTTGATTAATTATTTTTTTATTATGAAGGGTGTTAATCATGAATATTATCATATTCATTATTTTAATTTTAGAGAAATACATGAAACGGTTTCATTAAGTATTATATGAAACAATTTCATAACCATATATGAAACAATTTCATAAGATTAAACAACTTCATGAAAAAATTTCATAAGATTAAACAATGAAATCGACGAATAAAGGTGGTTTGCACGACTTGTACAAATATGAGTGTTTTGCATTTGATCGTTCATCTCTCTCTCTCTCTCTCTCTCTCTCTCTCTCTCTCTCTATATATATATATATATATAGACTTGAGATCATGTGAGACCAGCTTGTTTTCGTGAGACCCGTGAGACCAGCATTTTACACTTGAAACTTCACAGCAAAATGCTGTGAAGGTAACTTTTTAAAACCTTCACAGTGTTTTTGCTGTGAAGGTTCGACTTTTTTTAAACCTTCACAGCGTTTTTGCTGTGAAGTTTACGTG